ACGCCCAAAAATCTAATGGCCCATAAGCTAGATCCACCGCACAATAGACCCCATAGCTTTTAGCCCCAGAAGCAACCCAACAACACACATGCAATACCACCTGCTAGGCTCGCACACCCGTGGGACATATCTCATACTCATGCTCCCCAACCACAGAAAAGAACATTTCCTACAGGGCTCGTACACCTGGACACAGGTGGGACGGGACAGGACACCCTAGCCACAACATTTGAAAAGCCCTAAACAAACCCGCCGGAAAGCCCCGCCACAAGCAAACCCACCCACACATACAGCCTCTACAAACTTGCACTTGGCTGGGCCCCACACCCCTCCCACGAATATCACGCCTTGAGCTGCAAGAGGTCCCAAATGGTTGGGGGTATGAGAATATCAAAGACATAGGACACTCACAGATACAGAACAGGTCGAATTGCACTTGATAATGGATATACCCACAGCTCTCAACTACTGTGTGATCTATAAACACGGAAATGGATATTGTTATGCTATTATGGATATCTATCACTGCATTGGTGCACTACAAATAACTGTTTGACTTCCCACCCTTTTCCCTTCTGTACACCCATCCTTTCAAAATTGTAAAACTGAATACATAAATAAAGATTGTCAAAAAAAAAAAAAAAAGAAAACCAAAATATAAATATGCATCTATGTATAATTAACAAAAAAAAAAAACATTTCCCTAATTACAGTAAAATTCAACTTATGTGTATAGTGGATGCAACTTGTGCATTTAGGGAATGTAGTGTACAATATGTAAATGTGGGATGTAGTATGTTTGTTAGGGGATATATTGTTTGTAGTCCCTTGTGCTCAGCAGGGGTTAAATCAGACTGATACATAGTAAATAACAATAATAATAAACAACGAAACAAACATATAGATACATAATAATAAATAAGACACAGACTCAGAAATGTTGCAGAAAAGGCCGTGGTCTTTTATTTAGTTTTAAAATAATACAACCAACACTTAACCCCTTAAGGACACAGCTTCAGAAGCTTGACTTACGCTTAATGACACAAGCAATTTTTGCATTTTCTTGCTGTTTGCGTTCAACTGCAATTTGCATCTCTCTCATTTATTGCACCGACACATATTATATACTGTTTTTTAAAGGACAGAAAGGGCTTTAATTTGATATAACATATATATATATAAATGCTTACTTATTATAAAAAAAATACAGAAAAATGCAAAAAAAATGAAAAATATTGTTTTTTTTTACAGTTTTTGCAATAATAATGTGTGCATAATTAGTGCAGGTTAAGGAAAGTAATTAAAAATAAATTTATTTATTTGTTCTGATTTACAGAATATATAATGTGTCTGGGATTTTAAGTTTTTTTTGGTAGTTACAGGTCACAAAGCACAAGGAGTAAAATAAAATTTTAATGTGGAGCGATTTTAGAATTTGGTATGTTTGTCTTGTAAGCTTAATAGCCATAAAAGAAAACAAAATTGCCACACAAAAGTATATATTTATATAAAGTAGACATCACGGGCTATTTACCTAAGGTTGTTTTGACACTTTCTACGCAGCCATATTACCGCCAACCTCTGCTAAATATTGGAGTAAAATTGTGTTCTTTTTGGTTTTTGGCACACAAACTTATAACAGAGAAATTCTCGTGTATATTTTGTAAAGTTGGTGTGTGCTATTCCTGTACAAAGTTTTATTTTGTGTTCAGTTACATCTGCTGAGTAAAATGACACCCCATTGTATGTCTTTTGCACTATTTCGTGAAGTTACAGTGCCATACAGGATACCTGTCCTTTTCAGTATTCACAGTAGAATTTTGAGAGATAATTTAATGAGCCTTAGCTTCCATTTGGGGTATTATAACAGTTTGACTGTTCAAAAAACCCCCACAAAGGCCTACCATTTGTAAAAGTAGACACTCCAGGGTATCTTATAAGGTGCATATTGTGCCTTAACATGCCCCCATTTTTTCACCAATATATGCCAAAGTATGTGGTAAAAAAAAAATTTGTGCATTTTTTACATACGGATTGCATTTTTGCTGGGCGTTTTGTATATTTCATATGTGCCACTAAGTTCAAACCCCCCAAATTATGCTCAGCTAAGTCTTCTGAGTAAAATGACACCCCATATGAATGTCTTTGGCACTATTTCGTGAAGCTACAGTGCCATATAGGAGACCTGTCCTTTACAGTATTCACAGTAGAATTTTGAGAGATGGATTTAATGAGCCTTAGCTTCCATTTGGGGTATTATAACAGTTTGACTGTTCAAAAAACCCCAAAAGGCCTACCATTTGTAAAAGTAGACACTCCAGGGTATCTCATAAGGTGCATATTGTGCCTTAACATACCCCCATTTTTTCACCAATATATGCCAAAGTATGTGGTAAAAAAATTATTTTGTGCATTTTTTACATACGGATTGCATTTTTGCTGGGCGTTTTGTATATTTCATATGTGCCACTAAGTTCAAACCTCCCAAATTATGCTCAGCTAAGTCTTTTGAGTAAAAATACACCCCCAATGAATGTCTTTGTCACTATTTTGTGAAGCTACAGTGCCATATAGGAGACCAAGCCATATCCGTTTTTACCAAACTTTGAATTTTGACGCTGGGCCTATGTACAATTTCCAAGCATCTTCGCAGGTTTTAAATTCAATCTACCCCACAAAGGCCTACCATTTCTTAAAGTAGACACCCCAGGGTGTTTCAAAAGGTATAGTTTGAACCTTAGCGTGGGATCATTTTTCCGCTAGCTTGTACCAGATGTAGTGGTAATAAGCATTTTTCTGCCTTTTTGACATACAAAGTGAGTTTGCACAGTATATTTTGCAAACCTTATGTGTGCTACGACTGTATAATACTTCATATGTTGCTCAGCTATGTCGGCTGAGTACAGCAATACCCCCGTATGTACCTTTGCCAGGTATGTGTGGACATCGGAGGGGCACATTTGGGACACAGCCATTCCAGTTTTTTTCAAACTTTGAATTTTTATGCTGTGCCTATGTCCCATTTTAGAGTATTTTACCAGGCTATATAATCCAAATTCCCCATAAAGCCATACCATTTCTTAAAGAAGACATCCCAGGGTATTTCAAAAGGCATATTTTGAACCTTAGTGTGGGATCATTTTTCCGCTAGCTTGTACCAAGTGTAGTGGTAATAAGCATTTTTTCTGCCTTTTTGACATACAAAGTGAGTTTGCGCAGCATATTTTGCAAACCTTATGTGTACTATGACTGTATAATACTTCATATGTTGCTCAGCTATGTCGGCTGAGTACAGCAATACCCCCGTATGTACCTTTGCCAGGTATATGTGGATGTTGAAGGGGCGCATTTGAGACGCAGCCATTCAGTTTTTTCTAACTTTGAAGTTTTACGCTGTGTCCATGTTCCAATTTGGAATAGTTTAGACGGTTGGTTATTGAAACTTCCCCACAAACACATACTATTTATTAAAGAATACACCCTGGGGTAATGCAAAAGGCATATTTTGAACCTTGGCGTGGGATAATTTTTTCTCTAGTTTGTTCCATGTGTAGTGGTAATGAGCGTTTTTAAAATGTATTTTTTTACTTTTTATAACTTTTTACTTTTAAAAACTAGTTTTTAAACTTTTGTTTTGCTTATAAATTTTTTTTAAACTTTCCTAAACTTTCTTAAAACTTTTTTACAGATTTAACATTTTTCTAAGCTATTTTTTTTACTGTTAACCCCTAACTAGCAGTACGCAGCACTAACAGTAAATTCCCCATTTTCCCATAACTCCCACCCACCCCAGCTAGCAAAATATATAGTTATAAAATATTTAAATTAATTAATTAAATAAATTGAACCCCTGAGGGTTAAAAAAATAAATAAAAGTTAATCCTCAGGGGTTAAAAAAAATTAGATCACAGTATAATACTGTGATCTCTATTTGATCGCTGTAGGCAGTGATCGACTGGCAGGGAAGGGGTTAATTTTTATTTGGACTAGGTAAAGGGTTTTTTTTTTTTTTTTACTTAAATGTTATTAAAACATTTTTTTAAGCTTAATTTTTAACTTTTTAAAGTTTCTTTTAAAACTTTTTTTTAACGTTAACCCCTAGTTAGCCTAACGTCAAATCCCCCAATTCCCCACTAACTTCCACCTACCCCAGCTATCTAAATATATAATTTAAAATAATTTAATTAATTAATAATTAATTTAACCCCTGAGGGTTAAAAAAAAAAGAATTAACCCTCAGGGGTTAAAAAAAAAAATCAGATCATAGTAAAATGTAATCCCTGCCAATTGATCACTGTAGTCAGTGATCAATTGGCAGGGAAGGGGTTAATTTTTTATTAAAATGGGTAAGGGGGGGGGACACTTTAAATTAACTTTATTTTTTTAAACAGCAGGGGGCAGGATCAGCACTGATCCGGCTCCCTGCACTTCACACAGAACCCGGAAGTGCAGGGAGCCGGTAGGTAAGTATACAGAGCACATGTGCTCGCTCCGACTTGTGGTCAGAGCGAGCACATGTGCTGGGCAGCTTGACCGGGTGCTCCCGGTATGCCTCCAATGCAGAGGCATACCGGGAGCACCATTAACCCCGCGATCGCCGCGATAGCGGCGATCCGGGGTTAATTTTACCGCGTGACGGACGAGGTCCGTCACCCGTCGTTAAGGGTCTCCCCTGTGTGACGGACCTCGTCCGTCACCCGTCCTGAAGGGGTTAATAACTTTATAACCAAACCATCTCCGGTTTTTAAACCCCCAGAGCATTAACCAAACATCTCCGGAATTTAAACCCCCAGACAATTAAAATATAACTCACCAGAGTCCCGCCCTATTAGCCGGATCTTCAACCAAATGATCATAAACTCAGCTAGTCCACCCCCCTTTAATTTAGGCAGGTGACCTCAACCCCACATGCTGCAGCATGCAGCTAATGCTGCAGCATGCAGCTAATGCTGCAGCATGCAGCTAATGCTGCAGCCCACCCCACCAGACCACGGCCTTGTCGATCATACACTGCAAATCATTATTAAAAATATCCAATCCAACATCAGACAAATGTATACCATCTTTCAAATACAACCCTTCACACTGACCCTCGATATTCACATGGCGAAAAGAAAAACCACCAATTGATGGCATAAATTTCTCCATGGCTTTGTTAAGCTTACGCCTAACTCTTTCTAGCGCTTTAAGTTTTGCATTGCGCAACCAAATTAATCTTGGGATTATTTCAGACCAAAACGATCCAGGGAACATTTGTTGAAGATTTAGCAAATCATTCTTAAATTGATGGAACCAAATTACTGATTTAACTTGGCCCACACCATTACCACTATAATGAAAAATAATTACTTGTGGCCACGGAATCCGGCCGGCCCAATCTTGTAATACCTGAAAAACATCCTCTCTCAAAAGACCCCTTACACCAACCCAATATATCATAACAGACTCATAATCAAAACGTAAGTTCTGGCCATAAAACCTATCCATCGCACTTCTGTGTGCCCAGTGGACGAAAGAATGGCCTACAATCCACACAATCACAGGCCTCGAATCTGAAACAGAAAGAAACAAGTTAGTATACTAGAAACATCAGGGTCTAACATAAACTTTAAATCTACTTTAGGACCAACGACCAACTTTCTTGACCACTTCATCCGAGAGACCGCTTGCTGCCGCTTCCGTTGCAGCACCTATGCGAAATGAATTGGAGGTAGTCCTTTTATCATTAATATCTAGACCTTCACAAGACCCTTGAGGCAAAATTTAACAGACCCAACACAGACTGCAATTTACCTACCGAGGTTTTGTTAACTCCTAATAAATGTGAAATTTCACGCTTCATTCTAATGACCTTGAATTCAGTCAGACGGAACTCCATCCGTTCTGAATCAATAATTATGCCTAGAAACTGTAAGCATGTACTAGGCCAGACCATTTTCTTTTTTGCCAAAGGATTGCCAAAATGCTGGGCAATAGCCATGAAAATCTGCAGCAAATGAAAGCAATCCATAGAATCCGCTTTACCAATGAAAAGAAAATCTTGAATAGTGAATAACCGAATGTAAACCAGAAACTTGTTTAATGACCCATTCCAGCAAACTTGAAAAACTTTCAAAGTAAAAACACAGGGCAGAGCAATCCATAGGCATACATTTGTCAAAATAGAAACCTCCCTCAAACTGAAAACCTAAAGAGCCAAAACAGTCTGGATGTATAGGGAGCAACCTAAACGCTGCTTCAATATCAACCTTAGCCATAAGAGCCTTATGCCCACACTCCCTCACATACTGCAGTGCATCATCAAAAGAGCTATATGACACAGAAATAATTGAAGCATCTACCTCATCATTTAATGATGTACCCTTAAGATAGGTGATGAATTAGTCTATATGAACCTTTTTCTTTTTTAGGGACTAAACCAAGTGGGGATAACCTGAAACAAGGTAAAGGCGGAACAGAAAACGGGCCTTCAACTCTACCTAACGCTATTTCCTTATTAATTTTAACTCTAACTACACTACTATTTAACTTAACAGAACTAAGATTTTCAACAAACTGAACAGCTGAACTACAAACAGAAATTCTAAAACCAAATAAAAATCCCTCCTCAATTAACTGCACTATCTGTTTGCTTGGGTAACGTTTTAAATAAGGGAGCATATTTTGTATTCTCACTGGGGTTGAAGCCTTTCGAAATCTGTTCTTTGGCAGCAACGCTTTGCCTCTTATAACACCGAAAGGACGGATGATTCCCAGCACAATTCAAGCATTCGTGCCTGAATCTGCACGAATTCGGCCATTTACATTGTGATTCATTAAACGACCAACAGACATCTTTTGGGCGCGTTTGTAAACCACTCGGATGGGTATGCAATCTGTACTGATTCTGTGGCACCCTGCTTGGCAGCATGATGCTAACCTAGGAGCCTACATCCTTCATACCCCATTTCAAGCTCTTGTGTACTGATAATTTCTGGCGAAAAACTTCGTCATAATTAAACCAGGCTAGACTACCAAAATGCTTGTAAGCCTCCCAAATAGCGTCTAAATGTTGAAAAAGCCTGCTAGCTCTATTCGAATGACGCTCACATTAAACGCTGGCAAAAATACAGAGAGCCTGAAGCCAATTATTAAAAGAACGAGGTACTGGTCTTTTCCTATCTTCGTCTTTTTCTAACTTTGACAAAAACTCCTTAGAGGCTGGTAACAATGAGAGAATATCTACATATTTATCATTCCAAATCTTTACCTTCACACAATTCGATAAATGATAGCCTAGAGGCGAAGCTTCGCACGCCAAAGCTTCTTTCAGACAAACCTCATTAATAGGCGTATTGCTCCTGTCAGACCTATTAATTAAACCAACAGGAGCAGCTAAATTTGGGAATTTTGGGGTATCCTGTGACCAAGCCATAGCTGGGCTAGCAGCTTTACATTGCATAAACTGAAATAAAATCCCCAGGGCTTCCCCTAGCCTAGCTTCGGAAGAAGCCCCAGAGAATAACTCACTGGATGCACTGTCCATTCGCTCCGCGGGCGTAGTCTGCGAGGTGCTAGCTTGCTCACCGCCTTCAAGGATAGGCAATTGCACCAGCTCAGCAGCCTGACAGGATTTTCTCTTCTTATTCCCTGCAGCTTTGGTCTTCTTGCTCCCTCTGGTGGATGAAGGGGAATAGATCACTCTGGACCTGGAAATCCTCTTCTTTCTTCCATGAAGTACACTCCTGTCACTCAGGCAAACTGACATTTGCTGTTCCTCCTCTGAATCTGCCCCTTTAGCAGCTTCCTCCTCCTCAGGTACTGAAATATCCAATGAAGCATTCTGTGGGCGTGCATCCATTTGGCAGGAAGGGGCAGTCAATAGGCACTGCATTAGCCATTCAGCACCTCCGTTTCTGAATGCCCTCCTTCTGACCTCCTCGATCAAATGCTTCATGATAGTACACAGAACAGAAGAGAGAGCTTGCTGGGAAGGGAGAGTGAGGGGAAAGCAGCTCCAGAAAGGGGGTAAATACTTCTTCTTTAGGGTAATTCTTCTGGCGCCAAAAATTTACCTCAGGGCTCCTTATATACTTGCATTTCCCGCCTCAGAGTACCCTCGTGGACAAGTGCTCCAATCAGAGCACTGTCCACGCGGACCCCTGTGTGAAAAACGCACGATGACACAGCAACAGCTGTTGCTAAATGCCCTCGCGGTCAGTGCTATTCGCGACGCGATCTGACCCCTGATTAACCCCGCAACGCACATGTGTACCTAGTCTATGGACTATGTACATTCTATTTTGTCTTAGTATGTCTTCGGACTGCGTTTCCGGTATGCGGAGCTGGCCCCGCCCACTTTCTGACGAGGCTCTCATACGCTATATAGAGAGACCGCGCCAGATTCAAACCGCTTGGTGATTCTCGGTCCTACTTCAGCATTAATACGACGGCTAAGCTCTTCGTTCACAAACTTACCAAACCTTTGACTATTATAAAGGATTTTGCATTCTCTGTACCTCTGACCACGGAGTGTATTGGAGTCTCCTGAATACCGGACTGTGTATATCATTCATCCCTTGGATTCAAGCTATACATTCCCATGGAGGACAACTCCCATCAATCTTAAGTATACTAATTACTCTGATCTCTGAAGACTTACTAATGAACTGTTTCTTGCTTGCTATAATCTTCAGTTACTTACGAATGTATTGTTACTTACATGCTATTCCTATGGAGGACAACTCCCATCAATCTTAAGTATACTATTCACTTCCACGTCTGAAGATTTAATTACTAATGAACTGTTTCTTGCTTGATATAACCTGCAGTTACTTCCTAATGCATTATTTGCATGCTATAATTCTCAGTTACTAAAATATAATTGCATTCATTAAGACTTCGCTTTTTTCACTAACTGCCTGCATCCACCACTTTGCTTTAAAGCTACAGTATCCTTAATAATTCTCTGCTTTCTTGCTATTGTAATTAAGGAGTTCTACAAGCTGCAGTTGAGTTCCAATTCTAAAACCCCTTGTAGCATAAAACTGCATTGGAATTTTTGTGATTTTGAAGGGAGTGACAGAGCCACTTAACCCCTTAGTGACCAGACCGCTTTTCAATTTTCTTACTGTTTGGGACCAGGGCTGTTTCTACATTTCTGCAGTGTTTGTGTTTAGCTGTAATATTCCTCTTACTCATTTACTGTACCCACACATATTATATACCTTTTTCTCGCCATTAAATGTTCTTTCTAAAGATACCATTATTTTTATCATATCATATAATTTAATATAAAAAATAATTATAAAATATGATGGAAAACATGTAAAACAAACACACTTTTTCGAGCTTTGACCCCCAAAATCTGTTACGCATCTACAATCGCCAAAAAACACCCATGATAAATAGTTTATAAATTTTGTCCTGAGTTTAGAAATACCCAATGTTAACATGTTCTTAGGGTTTTGTTTTGCAAGTTAGAGGGCAATAAATACAAGTAGCAGTTTGCTATTTCCAAACCATTTTTTTTTTTCAAAATTAACGAAAGTTACATTGTAACACTGATATCTGTCAGGAATCCCTGAATAACCTTTCACAGGTGTATATATATTTTTAAAGAAGTCAACTTAAGGTATTAAACTTGGGGTATTTTGACTCTTTTCTTGCAACCATTTTAACACCAATCTATGCCAAATAAAAAAAAAAAAAAAATTTGGTAATTTTTTTTGACACACACAGCAATTTAAGAATACATGTACTGAGACCTTTATGGGTTACTGCCAAAGAACACCGCAATATGTGTTCAGCACCATCTCCTGAGTACAGTGATACCACCCAAGTATAGGTGTGTAGGGTTCTCTGGGGGCTAAAAGACCTTAACTTGGAATTTTTACAGCTGGTCACCATGCACCCATTTTCTATTTGGGACATTTTTGTAGCCGGCCAGTGTAATTTACCCCCATCAAACCCTATATTTTTGAAAAGTAGACACCCTACAGTTTTTTAAATGGTGTTATTTAAACATTTTCCATACACTAATTCTACCACCAGTCTTTGTCAAACTTTTGGGTAGTCATTTTTGTGTGTTATTTTTCTCTCACATTGTACTTGAGGCATGGATTCACAGTTCCCCCAATGTACAGGTTCTATGGGTTTTTGCAAACTTACAGGGGTCAAATGTAGGCCTTTCCCCTTTTCCATGTTTGCACATTTAATTTGCCAGATTGGTTTGCTGGCCCTATGTTGCA